AACCCACGACCCTCAGATTGCGAGTCGAGTGCCTTAACCACCTGGCCATGCCGGGCCATCTTTTTTGAGGCTTGAAATTTTTTTAAACCTAATTTCCTGCCACGAATTTGATTTCGTTTGAGATTATTCGTTGTTAAAGAGTAGCCCAAGAATTAGTGGTGAGTGGTGTTAACTACATGACTTCTTCCTAGTCTATCGCTTCAAATTTAGGGACTGCTAGCGCAGATCGCTCTCGAGTAGTTTTTACGTAAGATCACAAAACTAACAAATCTTTGCGTTAATGAAAAGAATAAATAGAAATAAAAAAATAAAGAACTTCATCAAGCATTTATTGTAACAATAGTCAAGGAGGGAGGAAGAGGTCTAGATTGAACTTGACCTTCTCAGGTTTACAAGACCTAAAACTTAATACCGAGTGACTAAACAACGGACATTTCCAACAAAACAGTGGTTACATGTTTAATATTGGTCTATGATGAATTAAACGTGTTTGAAGACTTTGTTGGTCTGCATCAAATAGACCATACCGGGTCTGAAACAATTTCTAAAGCCTAAAAGGACGTTTTAATACACTGAAATATCTCATAACTAAATTCAGGGGACAGCCATATGATGGTGCAGATAACATGTCAGGAAACAGTATGGTGTGGGGAAGCGTATACTTATTAAAGCTGCCTTATAATATACGCTAATAGCTTGAAGCAAATTAAATGTATGCGACTTTTTTGGATACAATAAAAGTCACCTCAAAGAAAAGTTCAATTTCAAAAGTTACATAAATGCGTATTTGAGGATTTTGACAATGAAACTTTTAATATCAAATTCAAAGATTTTTGTCTAATAAGATTGACAGGTGCTATGCAGAGTATTAATATAAAACTATGACATCATACTAAATCGTTGAGATCGGTAAAGTTGCCTACACAGACATGTTTTTGTCGAATTTAGCGCAAAGCTACTCAAGGGTATAATTTTGAATTAATAGACAAGAGGGAAGGCAGCCAACTCTTTACCAACGTATAATGAGATTGACCGTAACTTTATAACGTCCCAATGGCATGTTCGGTGATGTATTTCGATCCTTAACCTTCAGATTGCGAGTCTAGTGCTCTAACTACCAGGCGACACAAACATAAAGGCTTGGATTCTTTGTGTAATGTCGCATATGGTTAACATTAAATTTCTTATTAAACTTTGTTTGGGAGAGTTCCTTCTAAGAAACGAAGATAATCTCAGTTCTACACTATATAGCGAAGACATATCTCCGTCTGAGGGACAAGAAATGTCTTGGAAAATAATTAAACACTTTCTGGAAAAAAAGGGACATAGGATGCCAAATACAAATGAATCGCCAAGGCTCCCAAGAAATATTTTGTTTTGATATTTACGCAAAGCTTTACAAGGGCCATCTGTTATAACCGTCCCTAATTTTAAATTTACAGAAGAGGTGGAAGGCAGCTGATCAACAGTACTCTGGGACTACTCTAACCTGTTTTTGGAGACGAAATCCATTAATATCAGTTTCCTGAAAATCCCATAATTTAAAATACCTGTAAATAATAATATTAGAATATGTGGGATATTACCATTTTGATACCAAAGAAACAACAAGCGAATGTTGGATCAATAAATGAATAAAAACTGGCTAGACCACAATTAGATTTTGTATTTTACAATATGGTAAAGATACTAAAGCCATCTGCGGTCGTTTCTAATTCTGACCTACTGACGCACAGGGAAGGCAAGCGGTCAGCAGAACCTTACCACCCACACTAAGGGACTGACTGCAACTCTTATAACGCATCTATAGTCTAAAGTATAGGGAATTTTGTGGTATCGCACAGATTCAATCCAGGCTCGCCAACCCCAATATTCAGAGCTCTACCACAGGAAAAAAAAAAAAAAGGCTCGGCATGGCCAGGTGGATAAGGCGCTCGACTCGCAATCCGAAGGTCGCGGGTTCGAATCCCCGTCCCCCCAAACATGCTCGCCTTTTCAGCCGTGGGGGCGTTATAATGTGACGGTCAATCCCACTATTCGTTGGTAAAAGAGTAGCCCAAGAGTTGGCGGTGGGTGGTGATGACTGGCTGCCTTCCCTCTAGTCTTTCACTGCTAAATTAGGGACGGCTTGCGCAGATAGCCCTCGTGTAGCTTTGCGCGAAATTAAAAAAAACAAAAACAAACACAGAAAAAAACCGCG